TGTTCAGAAACTCTGTGGCAAGAGGAGTTTTATCTTATACTCTTTATGCCAGGCATCTGATACCCTACACCCTTCACATGACTCATAAAGAATTCCACTGGAAGTACTTAGGCAAAGAGATCACATTTACCTTGGGTTTCAGAATACAAATATGTTTAAGCAAGGAAGAGTCAGTTCCTTGCTCCAGTCTGGAGACTCCAGCACAGTCTGGGCTGGTGAAGGAGGAATCAAGTTTTCAGGTCAGAGGGCTTGGTGAAGTCTCCAGATGCTGAAGGACTGTTCAGATACCCAGTTTGACCATAACAAATATTAAATTATGCCCATTAAGCCATGTCATGCTGCCCTGAAATACTGTTCCATTACCTCCACTTGATTTCAAACTTCAAAAAGCAAGAAATACTAACAATTAAGGCAGAAATTAAATGCTTTTTACCACTCATAATGAAATAGATTATGAAATATTTTGATTCCCAGATTAAAATTATTGAAACAAACATACGTCCAAATAATTTTGGAAATCTATTCCACTGTAATAATGCTATTCTAAAAATACAATATAGTTCCAGAAGTTTTTACCAGGTCTAAAGAATCATCTTTTTCAGTAAGATATGGAGAAAAAAGTATACAAAAATATTACACATTTGGTATAATATTGGACTGCATTTCTTTCCTTCAAGATCTACATTCTCCTTCACTTTTGAGCTTTTTTTTTTAATTATAGCTCTTCCTTCTCAAGCACAATATGCAAAACATTTGATTGTATAAGTAAGTGCCAAAAGACAAGTAATTTGCTATTATAATTTAACTGACATTAGTATTATTGTCCTACAAAATTACAGTAGGAGGAAATTTAAAAAAAATTAAATCTATTGCTCATGCTAAAGATCAAAATGCTTCATAAAATTCTAAACAGGCTGAGTTTTTAATAATCTGGCATCTCATTCTAGATTTTGAAGTGGAATAATCTCCAATAATATCTAAACAAACCTGTTAGCTTGATTTTCTGATTTCATCTAAACATTAATGCTGTTCTATAACATTAGCAAATGTACCTTTGACAATTTTCTAAGAGAATCTTATGCAATTTTCCCTTATTTGAGGATTTTATTTTAAGATTTTTATAAGTACTAGTATCTCATCAAAGTGTTCTTAAGTCAAGCATCATTGATTTTCGTTCATTTTTCCTCTTCTCACAGAAATACCAGCTTGAAATTTTTTGCTGGATTATGCTAAACTGAAGGTAATTTAAAGAAATTTAATTGTTCTCCTAATGTCCTTTGTTTGTCAAATCTTCTGTCAAGTTATTGCCCATGAAACTCTGGAGTCAAATTCCTGTTTGCAGATCTCAGTTGTTCCCTCTTGTTACTGCTGCTCAATGCAATGATTGTGAAATTTGAATCAAAACCCTATTGAACTCTAAAGATCATTCCTGAAGTGATTCATCATTGTCACAAAGTAGGAATATGGTTTATTTCTTCAGAGTCACTGTAATCACATTTGAGTACAGCTGTGTGACACAACTATCAAAGAAAGAATACATCTGGGCAATAACCATTCACCCTGTTTCTTGTTTTTCTACCTTGAGACAACCTTGGGGCACATTACCTGTTTGGTAAGGCAGTGCTAGGTACTCTGGAGTGCAAACCTATCTTCAGGTCAGTTTTGAATCCAATTTGGTGATTTGCATCATAAGGCACTCAGCTTGGTCTTGGCAGACCATGGCCTTCCGTCTTGGCTTTCAGCAAAGAAATGGCAGGCAAGGTCAAACCTTCTGCTGTTTTGAAGGTTTTGGAAGATTTCTGGATGCTATTTGGAAGTTATTGCATTTCAATTCAGAGTATTGGCTGGGGGAATTTTTAAATTGCTATGTGCATGCACATACACAAACTGCAGTACATAGCTCTGGTGCTGGATAAGGCAGGAACAGAGACTGTTTCTTTATACTCATTGGTGTACCACAAAATCAGAAGTCCTGTCTGGGGGCCAACCAACTACATTCTCAGAGCAGAAACCAACCAGCCATAAATTAAGAAAATGTCTGGGCTTCACTGGACATGAAGGCTGTGTTCATTGTAACACTTCAGCCTTGGTTTCCAGGATTATTAGAGGCTTTGACTGCAGTGGTCAGTAGCAAACATCCTGTGTACTGTGACCATTTCTTACATGCTTCACCTGCATCACTAGTGTTACATGGGTTTCTGACCTTTGCTGTTGGACTCTGATGCTTCTATTCTGTTATGTAAAGTGCCAAAAGATTGGTCTCTGGTTAACTTTAGCCACAATTAAATTTTGTCTACTATCATAAGATAATTGTAAGCTCAGCATGATGCACAAGGAACTGTGGTTTCACAGACAAAGAAAGCAGAAAGAAAAACATTCTGTGAAGGGGTAAAGCTGTTCACAGTAAAAGAATGAAGATTAGAAGTGAAAACTCACTAATTTATTGGCAAAATAGATTTATTTTACACACATCTCTTTCTCCACCTTTCCATCCACACGAAAATCTTGTGTTTAATGCGTTAAAATTCAACATATCTGTAAGGTCTAGGAAGGAGTACAGCATGAGCTCAAAGCATACAGTGGCAATTGCCTTGTGCTAAAACATCAGAGCTTGTTAATCAGAGATGGCTTAGGTGCTACAAAGACATTTTTAAAAGTAATTGTATATTTCAGAACTTGATGGTCTGAGACACTGAATGACAGTATAAAAAAACTATAGGAAAATGTTTCCACTATGGCATTGAAATTGCCATTACATAGGGAGAGGCTGAAAGTTCCTGGCACAAATAGCAACATATGGGTTCAGAGAAATTGTAAGGAGAGAAACATTTTCCTTCCATCTACTTAATTAGACTTACACAGGACTTAATATAACCCAAAATCTCTTCACAGAAAGGAGGACTGAGATAGCCATGTAATCTGCCTGCTTTTATTTCTGGGCATCATCATCTCATAGGAGCAGGACCTAACTTTTTTACTTTCAGTGACCACCAATGCAGGGACTCTTTCTAAAGTATGTAGGTCTTGTCTGCATTTCAACTACATTTCACATAAATTTTACATTAGGATGGAACTAGTTCTTTTAAAATAATAATAGAACAAAATCTCAATGAAGGGACTTTGACAGCAACGGTGAGAGCCAAACCCCCCCACCCCCCCAAACTAAAAAGCCTCCAACATCATTGTATACTAAATATGTGCTTTATAAGCATGAATGTCTTGCTTCTAAAACTGGTGAAAAGGAATGCAGCATTCACAACTTCTACTACTCCTACTACTCACAAAGCCAGTGGTTAGCTAAGTTTAGGACACGTTATCCCAGTTTGTACTTTCAGAGAGAGTCATTTTTACTAATCCTAGAGAAGACAACAATAACTCAACTTCAAATAGAAAACAAAATGCACATGCATGCTTGGGTAAGGCAGCCTCCTTCAATTGCACAGCACAGGATGTCAGGATAATGACAGAATTATAAAATCAACTTTGGTACTCCCAGGCTTCAGTACTTCCAGTTTTTCTGCTGACAAATGCAAACAAACTGGAGGCATACAACTTGGCAGTGCCATGGCCAGAAATTGGATGGGATAAAGGCTGGACTGGCCTCATACTGAATAGGTGGAAAAGCTAAATTTGGACAGGCACAAAGATATTTTGCTAGAATTTTATTTACTTATGAATATCACTTGGCTTTATCTTCCTTCTGACTAGAAGTTTTTTTGAACCAGAGAATGTTACTCTGTATGAAGTGATAGTATCTGCAGGAGAAAATAAGGTATTTTCTTAAGGATTAATTGCACAGCTTGACTTTATAATTTGTTAGAATAGATGAAAATTCTTCACAAAGGGAAACACAGGCTTAAAACTGCTGGCAGATTTTTCTACCTCATTTTTGAATAATAAAACAAAGCAGACACAATCATTATCTACTTGTAGATAATTTGATAGTCAAAAAATTAGTTTAACAAATTGTTCCTTCTGGTATGTAAGTTAAAATAAAAATGAACACACCAGAGAGAATTTTTCTTGAGGTGTTTATGACAACAGGATATCTGGTAAGTACTAAGCAAGAAAAAAACAATTACTTATCTCTTCTTTTAAATATGTAGCTGCATGAAAACATGGTCCTTAAGCAAGCTGGTAGAAGACTGAAGTCATTCTTGCTTTGAGCAGGGAGTCAGACAAAGTGATTTCCAGCTCTCTTTCCAACTTAAACAGCCCTTGGATTTTATCAAATGCCCTCAAAATAGTAAGGTTATGTAAAAAATCCTTCTCAGGTCTAACACCAGAGATGGGCTTGGACTTTAGTGGAAGGGGCTGAAGTGCTTTCTAAGCACCATAGTTTATCCTCATCCTCAGGTTGGCCTATCAGACCCCAGCTGCCTTGTCCTCACTTCCCACCCAACCCTGTAACAGCATATGGTTTTAGCTTGGTCCTGTTTATCTGCAAGCACCAAGTGGATGTGCAGCCCCTCAACAGTCCGAACCACAAAGTAACAGGATGCTGTGTGACAAATGAAGGCAGTCAGAATGAGGTTACAACAGGGAGCCTGTCCCTCCTCTTCCTCATTTCCATCCTACTCAAACGCATCCCCATAAACACAGCAGCACTCTTCCATCTGCCGAGGGAGCTGCTCTCATCTCCTGCTACCCTCCCTCTGCATACACATGTGCTTGCATGTGGACTGCACACTCCAGAAGGCAGACACTGGTGGATTCTAATTCCCCTGAATTCTCTCATGGATTAAACTGCAAATCTTTAACCCTCCTTCTTAATGCTGTGGTAAGTAACACACGTACTGGCTACATTGATTTACAGCTGAAATAAAAGTGAAAGACAGACAAAACTAGATGTCTGAAAATCAATCTATGCAGCAAGTGGATGGAACATTAAAGCATTCTGGATTATTTTCTCCTCCCTTCACTTTGCCCAGGGCCTAATGAAGCAAAATCACTGTCTGCAGCAATAAAGGTTGCAGGTACATGTGTTACCCTCCACCTACCTGTAACCCTTCAATGGCCAGTTTGAGGATAGATGGTGTAAGCTTGGAGGCTTGCTTGAAGGAGAAGTTGCTCCAGTCTATAATTAGAATGAAGCCATTTATCTGAAGCTCCTGATCTTCAATGAGCACTTCCAAGGAAAGTAGAATAGCCCGAAGGATATCTATAAAGGAGTTCCTAAAGCAAAAGCAGAAAAAAAAATCAATGGCTGCAGTTTCTTCAAATCTCAAGATACTCAGTTTTGCTATGGGTGGGGCATGAGTGAGGGACAGGTATTTATTCTGGTAGAAATATCTGAAAAAGGGTTGTTTCAGAGGTGTCGTTAAAGAGCTTCTGCTCCAAAACTGCTTGGTGTGATAAATCCTGCTCACTGATGGATAAAATAAACACTGAATGAGATCTCCTGAATTTTGCTAGCAGTCCATGCAATGGATTTTAACTAAGCTGCATTGAGAAATTATTTATCTGTGATGAAATGAAAAAAATCAAGCTATCAATTTAAATCCTTTCTCATTTGGATATACCTTACCAGTTTGTCTCTCTTCTTCTTACCAGATTTTTGTTTCCCTTATTTTCAGAAAGGGAAATAAATCAGTACAATATTAATAGAAAAGATATCATGCAACTACATTCTGTGCCTTCCTGCTTGAGTGTAGAGAATGATCCAAGGCTTTACACAATACAGTTTGAAAGTTTTCTTATTTTTGCAAACCAAATGCAACATGAAAAATGGCTACATACACTCACAATGAGAGCTCTTTATTAATTATCAGCTACAGTAGGCTGGCCACAAGGCTTCCCTCAGGTCTGGGAGAATAATTCAAAACCTTGGAGGGCGTGAAGCATATAAAGAGTAAAAGAGAGAGAAGAAAGTGCTGAAATGTTTTCTTTAATGTGAGAGTCTGCTCTGGGAAGCCTGGGTTCGCTCACTACTTCCATTTCCTTACTACTTCCATTTCACAAAAGCAAGACTTGGATACTTTAATGACGAGTCTATACTTATACCCAAGTAAGCTGAATTAGGTGCTCTCCTCTTCTGTCCTTCTCATTATGATGATTTACAAACAATACATTCTATTCGAGAGCAACAAACAAAGCTTCACAAAGTGTGGCTTAACCTTGTGTAAAATGAAATTGTAATATATTGCTAGTGCAATCTGCTTTACCTCAGCATAATTCTCAAGTTTTCTTGAGTCCTGAGGTCCTTTACAAGGAAGATTCATACCATGTTCTCCCATGGAGATTTTAATTTAGTTATTTTCTGCTGCTTTCATCAATTTAAAACAAATCTTCCCAAACCTTCAAGAGTATTGTTTCAAATTCTGCCTGAGAGAAAAAAACATATGTGCAGTCAAAACAAATTTCTCTACCATAGGTCTCTACCCCTGAATGAAATCAACACATGTTAAATTTCTATTAAAAGTAAATGGTGAAGTGTCCTCTGATTCTTTCTGTTTTCTCTCAATAGGTTTTGGGTGGAAATATACGTTCCTTCTCTAAAGACCTGATCCCTTGTAAAAGCTGGTTCTGCACTCTGCCTTTCTGCAAAAATTAGAAGATTCTCTGAAGTATTGGGGCAATAAATTGAGCTTATTGAGCTTAAAGACACCTAATATTGTTCTTGCTGCATACCAAGTCACTCCTCCCTAATTTACAGTTACAGGACAACCTTGACCTTTTCAATTCTTATAGGGAAGCTCTGCTAAACAGCTAAAAGAAGGAGTATTTCCTTAGCAATGTCAGGTGAAAGCATACTGATTGGATTGGCAATTGGCACGTACTTTAAGTCTAAATTTATTTTGAAAAACTGTAATATACTACCTACTGCTTAGCTGAAATGGTGATGACTTCCAAGCAGCAGCATCAGATAACCATACTTGGTGAAAAACCCCAAATATAACCTGTCCTAGGGTGACTTTATAATGCTTGTATCCTCAGTTATCTGTTCTGTTTACGCTGGATATTAAGTTATGCACCTTTAAGATTTGTTCCAAGAGCAAAGAGGGAGAAAGGAATTGTAGAGTTTGTTTTCAGAACTGCACTCACTCCTCCACATTCTGTTTTGTCTGCAGCATGGATGGACAGTGGGAGAGATCTCTCCTTTGATTTTTAGTTAGTTTTTAGCTAGCTGAGGCAGTGAAGTTCCCTGGACTGTGTTTTTTTTTCTTTTTCTTGGAACTGTTCAAACCTGCTCTGAACTGAAAACCCAGAAGAACACTGGGAGCTCTCACCTGTGGCCCACAGGGGCCTGGGACATTTCCAGTGCTGGAGGGACTGATGGAGACTGAGTGAGCCAACTTACAGAGCCCACAAAAGGACTCTCTGAATTTGTCATCTCTTCAGAACAGCAAGAGGTTCTATTTTTAACATTATTCATTTTTTATGCATGTGAATACTTTGCTTGTTAAATAAACAGGGATTTTTTCCACTTTTCTCCAAGAAAATCTTTCTCTAAACAAGTTAGGGGAAGGACAGCTTGAATCTGCTTTCTAGAGGAACCATTTGGAATTTTCTTAACAAATTTGCCCTAAACCAGGACATATCCCTAAACCATATCTATGTAATATATCCTACACTATCCCAGCATCCTCTTTCAGGGTGGTCAGCCTTCTACAAGAACTGCTCCATGGAAACTCCCAGACATGTGCAGTGGCTCCAAAGGTGCCCTCACACACATGTCAGCCTTCTTTGCACTCTTGTTGGCATCAATTCAAAATTATATCATTGACTGACTACATTGGGGAAGACGGAATAATCATGACCTCAATCCCACAGCTGCAAAACCTAGAATGAACTGGATGTTTTTTATCAACAAAGATGTGAAAACATGGACACATTGTGACAAAGGAAGGTTTTATTCTTCATGTGGGGGAAGAAGTCATCTTAAGAGTACATTCAAACTAATATTCATGATCCTGATAGCACTGATGATTTTAAAGTCTGTGTAATGATTCCAGTGGGACTGTCTGGAAACGGTGGATACAAAACATCTTCTGTAATCCACTCAAGCTCTAAATACAATGGAAATATTTCAGTGCAAAATCTTCCCCTCGGATTTTGTGCTGCGGAATTCCAGTCTTTGTCTGAATGTCTACATAAATTGTCAATTTATTGAGGAGTTACTCACCTCTACTTTCCTATACTTCCAGTAGAAATTATTTACCTGAGAGATATGGCACTCAATTTTCTTAGTTTGCAACTAATCTGGCTGTCCCTGCCTACATCCCTCCTTTCTCTATGTCTTTGCAATTTAAAGACATGGTATAGTATAGGAAATAACTCAGAGTGAACACAAAGATGTTTTTCTGATGAGTACAGGGAGACATGAAAGCAGCATATAAGTCCTGCAGGTGGGTTGTTTGCAAACACACTATTCTGTGAATGCAGAGGCTGGATAGAAATCAGAAAGTGCCACTTGAGTCTTAAGCCCTCTGCTCTCTAGTCTTGGGGCTTTGAGACAAATCATTCAGCTGTGTGACTGATTTGCATCCAAATCATTTTCTATGCATGAACACAGAACCACTTTTTATTACTCCATCACTTTTGTTCCTTTGCTTAATGTTCCCTTCCCCTCCTCCAACTCCCCTCCTCACCAGTTTAACCTTCTCACACAGAAAAAAATGTGAAATAAATTACAATTGCACAAAGGGAAATGTGTAAGGTCCTGTAAGGATTCAGCATGGAGCCACTAATGAGTTACAAAAGATTTGCACCAGCCCCAGAAAGAGAAAAAGGAGGAGAGAGGGAGTGTGCCTATCTGCCTTGGATGAATGGAAAGGTACCACAAAAGAGACTTTTCAAATACCCTTTGGAAAATGGGAAGTTAGCCCAGAATAAGCTAGTGGTAAGGAACAATAATGTAACACAAAAAAATGAAGATGATTTAGCTGAGGGATTTGGTGGGGAGATTAGCCAAAGGCATAGCATGAAAATAAATAAGAAGAAATTACTTAATTATAAGAGGTGTAAGCAGGCTGTGAGAGAACCAGAAGGCTCAGTGGAGTACTAGGGTGCAATGGGAACAATTAAAGGGGATAAAGACATTGCAAGGAAATTAAATGCTCTATTTGCATCTATCTGGCACCAGTCATTTTGAGGAGATACATGGATAACAAAGCTGAGGCACTGTTGGAAAATAAGGGGTCAACTAAGACATACTGAAAGAAAGTGATATATTTTGGAGAAGATAGCATCAGTAAATCTTTTGACATTACTCCTGAAAAACTAAGCACAGGCATGCTAGTGAAATTAATTGGATTATTCAGCTAGTTAAATGTACAAATGTACAGAAGTACTGGCAGCTGAAGCCATTAATATTGTCTGGTAGTAAGCAAAAACAGTCACTACAAATCCTGACAAGACAGCAGACTAAACAATTTGGACCAGTGCCGTTATCTTGGCAGTTGCAGATAATTCAGCTTAATATCCCTAAGTTAATATGAAGTAAGAGCCTCTCTTCTCTAATACTAAAAAGGTATTTTTTAGTATTATTAGTATTAAAAGCTCCATTACATTTGGCAAGTTGCAAACATGGCATAGATACAAATCAAGTAAGAGACCATATCTTACTTTGTTCCCTCCATACACAAAAAATCACCAAGAGAACAAAAATGCATATTTGGCTTCTAAGTGGGGAGAGCTGACACTGCCCTGCAAGAAGGATTATCAGTGAGAGTAAAATACAGAAGGGGAAGCAGGAAGAAGGACCAGAAACACATCTTCATGTTGCCCCAAATTATTTGAGCTAGTCCAAGTTCAAGAAGCTGGTTGCATGTCAAATCCTATGTTTAGTTTTGTGTCCCTCACTAGAAGGACACTGAGGTGTGGAGCAGGTCTACAGAAGGGTAATGGCACTGGTGAAGTGTCTGAACCACAGATCTTGTGAGGAGTGGCTGAGGGAGCTGAAGGTGTTTAGCCTGGAGAAAAGGAGGTTCTTGGGAGATCTTACCACTCTCTACAACTGCCTGAAAAGTGGTGTCAAGATGAGCGTTGGTCTCTTCTCTCAGGTGACATGTGACAGAACAAGAGACCTTAATTTGTTCCAGGAGAGGTTTTTATTAGATATTAGGAGGAGCTTTTTCACTGAGAAGACATGTAGATGTGGCACTAAGGGGTATGGTTTAGTGGTGGACTTGGCAGAGTTGGGTCAACAGCTGGACTTGATGATCTTAAAGGAC